TTGTTTTTTTTTTTGCATATTCTACTGCTTTTTTTTATGCACATACTTTTTTTTTCTTCTGGGCTTATCAAAAGAAGCTTATGTCATGTCTGCAAATATCTTATATTTGTTCAGTTGGCTTAGCTTTATTGACTTCTGTCGTGAGTTTCAAGGTGTTGAAACTTCACACTTCAAATTCCGGTTTTTAATATTCAATAATTGTTAAAACACCAAAAGCATTTTCTCAATTGAATTTACTTCTTCACCTTTGCTCTTCTATGCTGAGGCAGAGATTAACGAAAATACTCAGAAAGCACACATTTTAACAAAATGCATCCCTCATTTACAAAAAATGATCTCTGTTCTTCTTCCCTTCTTCTCCATTTTCATGAATGTGATTCTGTGTATAGTCAAACTTTCCTGAAATCCAAAGCAGACATAGAATGGCAGGCTAAAATACATGCCTTCTAGTTTGACTTTTGATTTTGAAGAGCACTTCTCTTCATCCCCTTTTGCATTGTGCCCCACATTGTTAATATAGTTCACTATTTTCAAAGTGCAATCGTTTATTGAATACATTTAGTGTATTTTAACATGTAACATACTAAAAATAAGATCTAGTGCATTTCATTTGAGTTCATTGGTATATAATTTCAAACATTTCTCAGCAGTTTAAAACTGTGAATGTCCAAAAATCTTCTCACATCGCTGTTTACTGATGACTGAAAAATGTGTTCTTTCAGATAGCTCTCTGACTTCCTGTCAATTCCACATTGTGCAATTCCACATAGTTCCGCATCTCATCACATTTTATATTCCTTTAGTATTTGTTCTTTGAAAGATTTGAATCACAATGACTCGTGGTGACCTGTTGTACTACATGTGTCTGTTGGAGTGCTCCACAAGCACTCACCAAACCTCTCAGTAACTAGAGTTCATCAAAAGCCAGCAAATACAGTGTGATGATACTGAGACATCTGTGTCAATCAATGTTGTTCTAAGAAATCAGTCATTCTTAGTGCAGCATTTTAAACATCACAATAACATATGGACGGTACAGTATTAATACTTTATGATTTTTACATTGTAAATCCATTAAAATAATCACTATTGAAATACAGAGCCATAAAAATTACATACAATCTCATGCGGGAGGAACTTTTACTTAACAAGCTTTGGCTGAAGTTAATATTATATTTTTATTAATAATACATTAAGATATGTATCAAAAAGATGAATACTGCCGCTCCTGGTGAGAGTTACATCAGAGTTTCGATCTTGTCTCTTCACCACTGACATCATTTACTGTAAACTATCTGCTATCTGCCATGTAACTTAGGCTTATCAGCGCTCCTGTTGTTTATAAGAACAAGGACCGGAGGTGAGTTTACAGAGTTTATAGTTAAAATACAAAAGGATGGTGATCTTCCGGTGATTTTCAGTTCTTGGGTAACCTGGGATTAACTTTTCTTACCAAAGAAATAAAATATCCATGGTGATAATAGCCCTGCCTGACATAATTCCCAGCTGTTTGCCAAATGAGACATTTACAGCTGCTTTCTGGAGATCAGTAACTAATCATATGATCTTCCAGCAGAAAAAAAAATGTTGAATGAAACTGTTGAAATTACAAATTTCCACTTTTCAGACCCATATGTATTGTAAATGACACAAACACTAAGAAATATACAGTATAGTCCTTATTTAAACAGCTCATGTTTACTCATTCATGTTTCTTAAACATAAAAAATGTTAAAACAGGGGGTTTCAAACCTTTTGATGCCAAGGATGCGCAAATTTTTGATGCCCTTTTGTGGGACCCCTTTTCTAATATACAAAGGCAGCTATATAGAAACTCATTTATAATGTGTGAGAAAAAGTGTGAACACATTCATGCATCCGGCCTGACCCAGTGTCTCGGGTTGCAGACAGGGAAAACACCTAGACAGATGGCCAGTCCATCACAGAAAGAAAACACATTGTTTCTTATAGCTTTTATTTAGTCATTGTACTGAAGCAAATGATTCATTATTAAAATATTATCTGGAAAATATTATGTTGTATTAAACAGACCATGTATTTTGGTTTTTGTACAGCATAAACTTGAAAACAAACATTTTCAAATAATGTTTTACTTATTTAATTATATTAGATATCATGAAAGTATATGAATAACCCTTCAATCAAAGTAATTTCACATTTTCAAAAGCTTATGATTCCCATTTTATCAAGTAAGAGTCATTACAAAACAATACAATGCAATAAAAAATATTATATATAAAAACACTGGCCAAAAGCACTTCTGCAATGAACACGTACAATAATGAAGAGAAAACACAAAGCACCTTTTGAGCAAGTGTGTGACAATAATTCCAATCAAATTCAGCAAAATACGTAATAAAATATCTGTACAAAAGGAGGAACGCAAAGACACAGTAGGCAACAAAACTGGTTCAGTGGCATTGCAGAAGAAGTCATAACAATGTTTGTAGCATAGTTTTAGATCTCATTCTGTTACTTACAAGATGTGCTGACTGCTTTAATAACACAGTGTCAATAATAATAACAAAATGCAAATTCTGAATAGTCAATGTCTGCTTTCTTGCAGAGCAATGTCTGAAAAATATCTATACTAAAACAACTGTCTCATCTGACTCCAGTGGCTCTTGGCTTACAGGTGCTCCATTCTCAAAGTTTCTCCATGGCATGCCGGTATCCAAAACAGGTGGTTTGCATGGCACATCTATGCCCAATTCCTGTGAAGGGGGTGCATTGCATGTTTCAAACAGGACCTCAAATTTATTCTCAGAATCTCCTGGTTCCTGCCACATCAGCAGTTCATATCTTCCAAAGCGACAGAGCACCTTATCATCTAGCTCAGCTCTTTCGAGGTATCTCAGTTCAGACCCACCGACCATGAGTTTGACCTTCTGGCTCATGTTCTGGATCATGAAGCTCAAGAACGGGCTGCCAGCTTTCTTATACGCCTGTATGGAGAGCTGTTTTCTGGAGACAGAGGTGTCGTTTAGGGCGAAGATGCAGGTCTGCCCATCACGGCCAAGCCTTAGTGGATCTTCAGCGTCCATTTTGTACGGCTGATTTAGGGGCAGGTTGTGGAAGAGTGGACGGCTGGCTTGGTTAGGGTGGAAGAGATGGATATGAAGACAAGTAAGCAGTTCTTCAGTCTCGAGTCTGCTATTGTCATTCATTCTGTGAAAATATAGGGTCGCAACTTCTGTGGGGTTGAGTTGACTTGTTTACAGTTAAACCTAAGGAAAAACGATAAGAAACAACTCGTTAAGTGTTAGTACACTTAACAGATGTAGCCTATGTTGCAGCAAAACGTATTATTCTGAATTAAAGTGAGAATGCACAGATAATATTGCGAAAAACGCTGAAGTATAAATACACGTACTAAATAAGTGTTGTACCAGTTTAACAAAACTAAACAGCAGCTTACCTTCAGAACGATAAGCAACTAACGGAGTGCTGTTCTGAAGCGGAGATCGCTTTACTATGATGAGCTCAACAAACGAAGAGGGAATTGCATCAGAAGCACTGAAATCCACCCCTTCCAGCTCGGGACATGTGACTCTCAAAAACCCCAGAGTTGCGCAACTGACTTCTATGCTTTCGCTATTTGATTATATTTCAAAAATATTATTTGACCTGGAGATGCCAGACACGCTTTATTCTCGTTTTGATGAAAAAGAAAAACCCTTTGTTGCGTAGTTGAATGTTAAAACTTAAAGCACTCGCCAGTCTTTGTCTTGTGACATGACATCGGTTTAATGACCAGATAGAAGAGGTGTATAAACATGACCGAGAACACGTTTATGGCCATCATTTACAATGTCTTCCGTCACTCCCCAAAAACGTCCTGACAAAACTGTAACCACAGGGAAGTGGATGAGAAATCAATTGCATGTCAGTTTCGTCATCATATAGCAAAATAACAATCTTTTAACGTAATCTACATAATCTTTCCGGGAAGCAGACTCAAACGCGTAAGAAATAAGAATGCGCATATTTCACATGTGTCTTTGTTCAGCTGTCAATGGGGTCTGGAACAGCGTGCTTTATCTAAAATTTTAAAACTATAAAAGTAATACATACATTCATGAATGCATATATACATGAATCAAAGTTTAAACACTTAAGTGAAAACGGATATCAAATCTAAACATGCTAAACAATTAAACATTAGCCTGTATATCTTTTTAGCTTAAGGGCAGATCTCAATAATCTTGTGTGGTGCGTTACCGCAACCTACTGGTAGAATGAACCAGAGACAGCTACCTCGTGCTAAAAACATATTTATATTGTGTTTTTATATATAGCCTATTCGCACATCTTTATTTCTGAAATTCCATTTATAGCTGTAGTAATAGTGATTTAAAAGCCCAAGTGACATGCAGACTTTGTTTTGTGGAAAAGACTAGAAGCAGAAAGACTTGTCTGAGTGGCATGTGAGATAAGGTGTTGTCTGGGAGACTTGTATCTCAAGCAGTATAAAGTTTCTTGTGGTTGGCAGCTAAAAGAATTATGAGATTTTCTTGTTATTTCTGTTTTCATTAGAATTCCCAAACTCTCCTTTCTTCCACACCACTCCCACCAAAACATAAACTTGATTATTCACTGTTAGATGTGTTGATAAATGTTTACCCAAGAAGCTGATTCTACTTTCCAATAATGCTATCAATTTCGATGCATTTCTTTTTCATTTATTGATTTATTTTCTGCTGCTATGCAATATTTAAATCTCGATTTCATCCCTTGCAGTACTATCTGCTTCCATATTCCACCTCCACCCCCATTTTGCACAAAAAATCACAGTAAATTCACTTTTCATCCATTCAGAACGGTTTCTTTTTTATTATTAATTAATGCCAAGGTATAAAAATATTCAGAACAGTTTCTTTTTAACGTTCCACAATCCTAGCTTGTCACGTTCCGCGTGATCCATATACTTGTATTTGATTGGTTTATTCAACCTTGTGGGCGGGACTGAGGAAGTATATTATTGAATGACCCACCCTCTTCCTCATTGTGGTGAGAAACAGGCGGTGAGTGTTGTTTTTTTTAGTTCTTTGACCTTTAAAACGCCTGTACTAAAATAAATGTTTAGCACGCGACATTAAAACACTTTTGATATAAGCAGCTTTCGTATGGTGTGTAAAAACTCTGTTAATCGGCTACATGTAAAAGTAGTACATACGTGTTTATCTCGGCGCGCAACGGCTACTAAGCTAACGTTAGCTTATTCAAACTTTGCAACAGAAACGTTTTCTCTCAAGGCGATGAGCACGTGAATCGACGATTACTTGCTATATTCCTGTTCTCGTGAATTTACGAACATAAACACTTTACAGAATACGCCGTGAATAAACTGAATGTTTGTGGCGGTTTTATAGTCCGCTACGATTGAGTAACGTTAACCACACGAGGACGTGGCGTAAGTTATATAAGAACTTGTGAGGAGAAATCTTGATTTCTTGGTACGAAACTGATTAAGTTCTGCTTAACGTAATTACGTTTTATTTTGTCATATTTATTGTGTATGTAGGGGGAAATCAAATTTAAAGTATTTTCATAAACCGGTGTGACTTGATTGGCTTCTCAGGAAATTCACGGTGTAAGCTTTCGATTTCAGTTTAGCACCAGGCGTGGTTTCGTGTTCTCATTCCTTTGCGTTGATTTGCAAAAAGCCATTACAATAATTATAATAAATTGTTATTGCATTAATGGCAACTCACTGAAGTGTACCTCGTCACTGTGTTTCAGGCTCTGCATAACATTAGAAAAGATGGTGAAGATCTTCGTTGGGAACCTGCCTCCACAGGCAGAAGCAGAAGAAATAAAGTCTCTGTTTACTCAATATGGAGCGGTCACTGAGTGTGCCATTATCAAGAACTTTGCCTTTGTCCACATGGATGATCGCAAAAGTGCAACAAAGGCGATCCGAAACCTTCATTTATACAAGCTGCATGGAACGCCCATCAACGTCGAAGCGAGTCGGGGCAAAAACCAGGGCCCGGTGAAGCTTCATGTTGCCAATGTGGAGAAAGGAGCAGATGAAGAGCTCAGAGAGCTGTTTGAAGAGTACGGCACAGTTACCGAATGCGCAGTCATTAAGAACTTTGCCTTCGTACACATGAGCAATTCCGATGAGGCCATGGATGCCATCAAGGGGTTGGACAATGCTGAATTTCAAGGTAAAAAATCCAGTCTTGTCACTCTCTTACACATCCTTTTGCATGTTTATCACATTTGCTAATATGAACTGTTTTTACACTTGCAGGCAAACGAATTCATGTGCAGATTTCAAAGAGTCGACCAAGGGGCGAGGAGGAAGACTATGGCCCCCCAGACAGTGGATACTGGCCACCCCGTTTCCCTGGTGACCGTCCTGAGCCCCCTGGTTATCCTAGGGGTCGCTTCGGCTATCCCCCTGGTCCCCCTCCTCCACCACCACCCATGCCTCCCAGACGCCCCCCATACCCAGAGCGTGCAGCGCCGGCATACGAGCGCGAACGCGGTGTGGTCGACTATTACGAGAAGTACCGCGCTCGCCCTTACGGCGCCGCCTCATATGAGGACCGGCGTCCGGGTGCAATCCCCCCTCC